CCTGCACAACTCTCTCCAGCCTCCCTCCTCCTTGTGGGCCTGCACAGTACTGCATCCACCGTTGCATCCCCAGGACATCGCATAAAGAGAGATCAATACACATTATTTAAACCAGCCCTTCCCTGGGAACACTACTAGAGATAATGGTCATGGATTTTACTACTAATGGTACTGTACTTCAAATATTATATTGATTTAAAAGACTTTGCTAATTTTGTCTGATGACCTGAACATCACTTAAGACTGTTTTTTTTTATGGGAAAATGTAAGTTTTTAAGTGAATTTTTATATGACAAGCCAATTGCAGTTTGAGAGACAACTGCATGTACTATGTCACCCAGCCTGAGACACATCTGTGTGAAAAATAAAAGTGTCAATCAATCATGAAGATGAATCCAAATATTTGATTCAATGACATCTTGCAAACAATATTTAATCATTTTATCTTTCAAATTTGAGCCAGATGGTATTTTCTACATAAACAGAAGCAGTGGCTACTTAGAAAGAACTTTGCTTCAAATATTATTTAAGTGCTCTTGACAAATATTTCAAAGTAAGATTTTTTTTTTGCTTGTGCTTCCACAATTACAGTTATTAGCTATGCAATAAAACAGAAGCGTTCTAAGAATATACTAGAAAGAATCTATTAGGAGACTATGCTTCAATTTCCATTAAATAGTGGGTTTATATTTAGCAAAGTAAAAGCTGGGGACACTGATAAATGACTACTATATTTTCAAATAATTTTCCTTTAAATGATAAATGGAATTTTAAAATAGTGTAATGCTAATACTGTAATGCTATGTTTTATTGAAAATAATTCACAGAACTTAGACATAAAATTTGACTCCTAGGAGCAGCTCCCTAGTCAGGTCAGCTGTCTTAGCTTTCTGTGTGTGTATTTTTTACTGTACATGTATCATGTGTGTGTGAGTACACATGCAGAGGCCAGAAGACAGCTTTGGCGTTGTTTCTTGGGAAGGCTGTTCTTTTCCTTTGAGACAGGCTTCGTGAGTTAGGCTGTGTGGACAGAAATCCTCCATCCTGGCCTCATCGTCTTTAGGATTGCAGGCCTGAGCTACCATGCTGCACTTCTGCGCGTTCTGGGAATAGAGCCACTGCCCAACCCCAATTCAAGGGTCACTCTAAGCACAGTGTGGTCTAGTATGTTAGCTGTCTTCCACCCCCAACTCTCCTGCCCACCCCCACCCCGACACTTGCCATCCCACCCCTGTTACCACCGTTTAAAAGTCAGCCTAAAACTGAACTACTTTCTCCTTTCAGATTCACGGTTAACATTTATGTGGGGGGTGGGGGGAGCAGGTGGAGGGGTAGGATAGGTTGTTCTTAAATTAAAACAAAATAAAATACCCATCCGTTTGGTCTTTCCCAAGCTTCCCTTTATCCATAGCACCATGCCCTCTGTAGAGAGGATGCAGAGACTCTAGAAGTGAAAACACACTTCCTAATTCTGTCGCGGGTCATCCTTCTCAACAGTCCCTAATATCAAAGTGGGTCACAGTGTTCCTGAACCCAAAATACTGAGTTTAAAGTGACTCCTCCATTTCCTTCCTGTGTGGCTCTGGTTAAGGAACACCTATGAATATTAGATTTCATGTCTGTATATGAAGGGCATTACTTACGGTTTCCTAATGAGGTGAGGGTAAGAATAAAGAAGTTTTTGCATTATGTATAAGACAGCACCTGGCTCAACTAAGTGCGGGTTATTGCGATCATTTTATTTGTTTAAAGAAGACAAAATGAATATTCTGAACTATTCATATGTACTCCAAGTCTAAAATTAAAAATTTAGCAAACTTTTAGTGTTGTTAACGATAGGGTTTTCTGACAAGTCCTAAATTCATAGCCTGTGACAAATTTTCATGATCTCATTCATGAGTTTGCTTTGATTAGCTTATTAAGTGTGAAATTGTGCAATGTGTTTCTGCATGCGAGAAATCTGCCATTTTGATCTGAAACTGAGATTCCTCAACTAAGACTGCAGAAGTTTTGTTTTTGTTTTGTTTCCTTGTGTTCTAAAACCCAGGACGGGCACTGTCTCCAAGCATCTGACATGTGTTCCGTTCTGGTCCAGCATTCTTCCGATGCACAATAAGTCTTATACCAATTAATGAACAAGTTAGCTAACCTCTTTATGATATTAAATCGCAGAGTAAAAGCAGGTTCAAGTCAGCCTGTGGAAAAGGCATTTAAAGAGGCTACTGCACGAGTCAAGGAAACCCTTTTCTGACAAAATTTTACTTTCTTCCTTAGAAACTACACTTTGGTGATGAATTAAGTTACACTTTAATATGTGACAGAAGGGAAACAATAAGCAATAAATAAGAATGGGTTACAGATCTAGACCGTTAAGACACTTGTGGTACACGACTTTAAAAGTCTCCAAATTGCTCTGTTCTATAAAGTTTATTTTATCACCCTGGGAGGGACATGACCATACATTATTACCTTAAAAATACTCTTGAACTTCAAAGATCTCACATGTAATCCATCCATGCCGTGCCTGCCTAGGAAGGCCTTGTGAAATTAGCAGGTATCATGTTCTTATGCAAATCCCACTTGATGACTATGTGGATCTAAGAGAACCCTAAAGAGAATTCTGAAATAAACAGACTATCTTAATCTGATCTGTCTACCTTAGAATGCACGTGGGAAAATTTCCTATCAATGTAAGAAATTTCCCTAATAACTAGTCTATAAGAGATAGTAAATTTCAAGGAATTAATCAAAGAAAAAACATGCACTGGGATGAAATGAAATATATTTTCGCTTGCTTTCCAGGTTGCCAGGAATATGAACTACTTCTATAAGATGTAGATTGTGCAGTGATCTCTCTACAGCAGCAGTTCAAAAAGCCACACATTTTTCCCTCAAGAAACAAACTACTTTTCAGTGCTCCACAGACTTAGATATTTTTAAGCATTCAGACAAGCCTAACAAAAATCTGATCAGATATGCCTTTAAGCTGCCAAGAAATGTGATTGAACCCACATCTTGCAATTTCATTTTGTCTAGCAATCTCATTCTTGAACATCTTAGAAGGGCAGGCTAAGCTCCCATTCCCTTGTGGCATCAGCAAGGATGCTTTAAACGCCAAATCAAAAGCATTGATAAGGTGATCATTTCTCCCAGCCATTCTGCACAACCGGTAAACAAACATGCTTGGAGAACTAACTGTGGGTTAGGGGTGAAAGCGGATTTGGAAACACTTTCAAGTGATGCACAGATTGGTTCTCTTCGGGAAAGAGGGAAACAAGAGGTTGGGAACCCAGGATGAAGAGGAAAATGCCAAGTGGCAGGCAGCAGAGTCGTTTTCTGTAGCCTGTGTGTAGGGAAGAGGGAGGCTTCGAAGGGAAGGTGAAGGCTGAAGGAGAAAGCAAGCAAGGAGAACTGCCAAGTGCTTCGTTCCTGTCTCCAAAGTCTGAGTAGTGCCAGAGAAAGAAGAGTGTGTAAGACAGAATCCTGCTTGTGATCAACAACAGCTCTGCAAAGGATGGCAGTCCATGAAGGAGCAGACCACAGGCTTGACTTTGTGGGTGCAAATACCTGCTTTGAAATGGCCTGGCCCATTGGCACTTATTCTCATTCTGGACCTTCAGTATTTTCAGAGAGTCTTTGAAACTACCCAATAAGCCATACACTGAAAACAACACCCAAAGCAGCAAAACTAAAAACTACACAGTTCCATGCATAATGGGCCAAACTACTGAACTGTGTAAGTTCTGGTTACTTTAATAGCAAAGAACTCTGTAGTCTAGATATCTATGTGTTTTAGTCACATATTAAAAGGTAAGTGGGGGACAATTTTATATTTATTGACGCACTCTGCTCATGTATCTAGAGTGAAATAGACACAACCTTATGATATGAACAATTTTAACATGTTACTCTTTTTTTCAGATTCTTTCCTGTGAGTCATTCTGTACGGGCAGGTAGGACTTCAGACATTGGACCACAGTCTGTTATTTGCTGAGTCTATGCAATGTGCTAGCACTGATAAATAACCAAGAGGCGTCTGTCCCACACAATGCTAGGCATTTAAAAACAATAACAGCAAAAATATTTACTTCTCTTTTGGGATGGGCTCAAAAAATATCAGGTTGTCAACAAACCCCCAAACCAATCAATATGAAAAACTAAAAATGTGAAGTGCTATTTAAAATATTGACATTATGACTTGATTAGATGGAGTGTTGAATCTGCATGCAATTAGCCCAATGCCCGCCGGTGCATATTAAAATCTCCCAGGATTTAGTCTTATCTGTGTTACTCTTTACTGCTAAAACACTTGTGCAGTCATAAATGTGGTATAAATGGCATGTTTGTGCACATTGCACATTGATACTTTTTATGAATGGATACAAATAAATGCTCCTATCAGAGAAAATGGATGGCAGGATACTATCTTGACGAGGGTCAGGAGCAGATGATGAGGCAAACAGTGGGTGCCACTCAGGTCAACTTCATTGCCAAGTCCCCTTGGCTGAGCGGCTTGGAAACAGCCGTGGAGCGCTTTCCTTAGAGACCTGTTCTAGTTAGCTCCTGGGAACCAAGACCACTGAGGAATAATAGACATGCATGCCTCGCCTCTGTGTTCTGAGGCTGGTGCACACAACAGAGATAATCACACTCCCCAAGTCTAGTCCGACAAGTGCGTGTATGTGCGCGAGTGTGCATTTACCAACAAAGAGACAGGAACGGAAGGCAACAGGGGATCCTATCCTACATATAACAGTTCTCATCCTTTTGGTCAATACAGGCTTGTCAGGGGCTCACACTTGCCTGTCTTCCCCACCACGAAGAAGCCTTGCGTTAATAACCAGTCAGGGCTAACAATTCCAGTCAGTTTTGTATGTTAGCCCACTAGGAGCCATATGGCAGTTTCCAGTTCCTTTAGCAACTCAAATCTGGCTAGGCTGTCAAGGCGAAGCATCTCTAAAGCAGAGCTCTTGGGGAGCAGCAATGCCCGGGCCACTTACCTAGCTCCCACAGACCCTCGCTCCACTTGGCCAGCAGTTCTGGCTCCTGTGCCACAAAGGGAGGTGGAAGTCCCCGCTCCCTCGGAGGGCTCCTCTCCTGCAAAGGTCCTTTCGTCAGTGATGTGTCGCTGGAAATCCCCCTCCCCTCCAACGAGAGGAGGGTCTCCCCGCTGGCTGAAGCTCCTGGCAGCTTTCCTTCTCTCTTTACATCCCTCACTCCGGTTCACAGTCTCTAGTAAGAAGGCTCACAGAAGACTCATTTGGAGGAAGCGAAGGCATCCTTTAAAAAGAACAATAATCTTCCTCGATCGTCACCCCTTTTCTCCGCGTGGAGCCCCCATCCCCCTGCCGCTGTCACCGCCGCCCAGATCAGAGAGGGCTGGAGTGAAGAGGGAAAAAAATCGAGCGGTGCTCTGCGCGCCGAGCCAGCCCTGGACTTGGCTCTGGATCCCGCTGCCCGAGGCGCGGCGGCTGCCGGCGGGGGCGGCGGGAGCTCGGTCGCGCTCGGTGGGTGTGTGTCTGTGCAGCAGCGGCGCTAGCTGGGAGCAAGAGGCCAGGCGGGGCGCTCGGGGTGCGGGTCCTCCCCGCTCCGCAGCTAGCTCTCCGGTCGGGCGCGCACACTCGCCCGCGGCCACCAGCCTCGCGCTCCGCCTCCCGCGCTCCGCGCACCCGCGGGCTGAGCGGCCGCCGCCGCCTCTCTCTTTCTCTGTGTCGCCTCCTCCCGCAGCTCCCAGGCAATCGCGGCTCTCTGGGTGGGCGGCCGGGCTGCGCTGCTGGCTGGGCACCTCGGGGTAACGCCAGGCTCAGCCTCCCGGCGCCGGGGCTGTGCGCTCGGCAGGCGACAGCGCCCCCGGTGCCCAGGGCGCGGCCTGGGCGAGGGCGATTGGGCACCGCCCACACCTCGCGGGGATCCTCCCTCTGCTCCCGCCGCTGCCTTAATCTAGGCTCCACACCCACCTGCCTCTCCTCGTGGCTTCCACTCAGCTGCACCCGGTAAGGGGTCCGCAACCCCGTGGCCACTGCAAGCACGCGGCTGGGAAAACCCTGGGACGCTCTTCCGAGACGCTCTCGGGGCTTCACGGATTTCCCGGCCCTTCTCTTTTCCAGCTGCTTCTGCTCTCCTGCTGCCCGACCCCTAAGCGACCAGAACCCGGGCTCTCTGATCCACTATGGGGAACTGGGGCGAGGACAAATGGCTCCTGAAGGATGAGTCCCAGAGTAGTTTCCCATAAGCTTCAGAACCAATGGAAGCCCAGGTGGAATGTGAATCCACTTCGGGATTCTCCAGCCGCACTTGGGACCATCCCTACCTAGTGGAAGTCAACTGGCTTTTCTGTGTTTGAAAATCTAGCTAGATGGGAGGCAGCTTTGACTCTTCCTTCCCACGGGGGCGCTGTTCATACCTTGGCTTGCTTGGCTTAGTAATCTATTTACTGGCTGGAAAACTAAGATCTCCCTTAGTAAATGGGCCACAGGGTGGATACCCCAGGCCCCTCCCCAACTTAGAGGTGTAATAAATACAATGAATTTGAACAAAACTGCTGGGCTCTGCAGGTTCCTGACTTAGGTGGACCTTGATAGAGCAGTCAAAACAGTTGTGTGTCTGTCAGGAAAACATGTTACTTAAAGCACTCTTTCTTTCTAAAAGAACCCAGGATATGGGAATATATTCAAAGTTGGGACCCCAACATTACTTTTGACCATGAATATCTAGATACTGGGTTTAAAATACATCCCATTTAGTCCTATGTACATGAGCTGGCATAGCCTTCCGGAATTCTGGGTCTTGAATTCCTGCCTCTGTAGATCTGACCTTGTGCTGAGCACTTTTTTGAGCTGTCAAACTTGCTCGATGCTGTCTCTGGGAAATGATTGTTGTAACTCCATCACCCTCCAACAAGAAACCTCCCTTGGCTCCCGTTTTTCTCTCATTGCGACTTCTGAAGTGTGCACACCAAGAAGAGAATGCCTGGATTCTAAAACCTTTATCACAGTCCTGGCCCGTTCCCAAGTTCCAGCGCCACGTGTCCCGGACTTTGCAGGAAGTGCGCTCCCCGGCCTTCAGTCTTCCCATATAGTTTACATTTCTCGCAGACAGCTCGACTCCAAGAACAACCTTGAAGCCATCACTGCGACTGCACAGCTATGGCAGTGGGTCCTGTGTTTCTTTACTTCTAGGCTATTCTTTACTGCCTCTCAGGTCCAAACTACCACAGCCTTTTCCAGGCCCATTTCAGACTCTTAACTTTTCAGTGACCCTCGTCTTAGACATGCAGAACACACTGCTCCAGCTTTTTAAAGAGACACGGGGTCCCGTCTGCGTTTATGGCATATGCGTACTTCACCGTATCGTCGTAAACTACAAGCTCCCACAGGAATGATTTAAGCATATCTTCACTGTTTTTATGCCTTTGGTGGAATCCAATGCCACATATTTATTCAGCGAACATTCATTTCACAGCCTTTTTTCCATTCAATTTTTGTCATTTGAATGGAATCTATAGAAGACATTAAGTTTAGAAAGACATTTTAAATTTTATTTTGGATATACTGAAACTTCAACGGCACGGGGAATATTTTATACACTTAAAATGACCTTTAAATTTGCAGGCAAATGGAAGGATCTAGAAAAAAAATCCTCCGTGAGGTAACCCAGACCCAGAAAGCCAAATATAATCTATACTCACTCATGAGTAGATAGCAGACATAAAGCAAAGGATAACAAGCCTGGAGTGCATCACCCCAGAGAGGCTAGAACCCTTTTCCAGAAACAACTCCCGGACTGCACCTGAAGCGTGGGAGAAGATATAAAAAGAATCAAGGGTCAAGACCATGATGAGGAAACCCACAGAATCAACTGACCAGAGCTAGTGGTAAATCACTGACTCCAGACTAACAGCTGGGGAACCTGCATAGAACCCAGCTAGGCCCCCCCTCCCGAATACAGATACCAATGGCATGTCTTGGCCAGTATATGGTACCACTGGCAGTGGGACCAGGATCTAACTCTAATGTGTGATTTGACTTTCTGGAGTTCGTTCTGTATGGAAAGACATCTTGCTCACCATAGGCACCATAGGGGGCGGGGGGGAGGCTTGTTTCTCCCTCAATGAGATGATGGGACAGACTCAGTTGACTTCCCCAGGGAAAGCCTTATCCTCACTTTTGAGCAAATGGGGAATGGGATGGGAGGAAGGTGGGAAGAGTGGGAAGACAGGAGGAAGGGGCGGAACTGAGATCGATATGTAAAAAATAAATAAATAAAACAATAAAAAAGTAGAAAAAAGGATTATAAAATTCCCTTTGTTAGTCCTATATCAGCAATACTATTGAATACATCAGCGTGAACTTAATAATTTGGTAAATAATTGTTCAAAAATATTTGCCTTAAAGTGGGCCACATAGAATCGTTCTCTAAGATGGGAGAGTCAAGAGTGTTTATTTTGGTCTGGAAAGATCTCAGAAGTCAAAGAGCTCTTGCCACTTTTCCAGAAGACCCAATTCCCTGCATCCACAAGGCAACTCACAACTAGCTGTAATTTCAATTCCAGGGGCTCCGACAGCTTCTTCTTGCCTTAGAGGGCACCAGGCATGTGTATTGTGCACATAAACACACATAGAAAAAAAAACACTAACACATACAAACTAAAAATAAACTCTTTAAGTAAAATAAATTGGTTAGATTTGAGAAACTTGAATCCATTTTTCTATCACGAGAATTATCGCTAGCCCAATTGCAATGCTGTCATCTCCATTTTCTAGGAAGCAAGGTACTAGGGGTTGGTTACCCATCCAGCTGCAGATATGTATACAAAAACAGTTTCAGGATAGGGTATGTGATGTGATTCTGCTTACTAGGGGTTTCTCACTCCAGAATGGGTTAACAAGAATAAGGCATTGTGCACCAGTTGCAAAGGCAGAATTCTCACGAAGCACAGAGCTTTGGCTCCAACTGATTGCAGAAACTCCCGCACCCATTATCCTCATATGGCTGCACCTCTTCCGTGCATAAATTTCCATTTTCTCAATTTGTTCATCAAAGGAAAATGTAACATGATGTCGCTGAAAAGTCAGACAAGTTTTCATATTGCTTCTTAACTCATTTTTAATCTTTATTGAGATTTATAGAAATGTTCCTTTTGCTTATATTTTAATTTCTCAGATTCAGCCTGTGATATGAGGAAATTATATTAAAGAGGAGAAAGGACTGCTTACTGCGGTGTCAAAACGCCTTCCTGGTAAAGCCTGCTAAAATAAACAACTGTAGCACAGGTTAGCCTTATAGCCTGTCTGCAAATCAGCATCACAATGTCAATGACAAATGCGCTTCCCCATGCCTCACAATGCTGCTGCACAGCATTCTCTGCATAGATACAGTACACAGCGTAGTGTGTTCTTGGCTCTTTGTTGTTCAATGCAGCATTTGAAGATATTTAGTTTACTCTGAATAACATCAGTATTTACTTCAGTCTCTTAAACAGGAATTTGAATTGTGTGTTGACTTGCAGAGTTTGTGTACAGTGAAATAAAATAGTAAGGCTAAAGAATGAACAATTTTTTAAATGCATAAAGGGTGATCATTTCCAAGTTTTCTGGAGACTTAACTTGGTGGTTTGTTTTTTTAATGTATTATTTATTTATTTAATGACAATTGAAGCCAGTGTAGTGACACAGGCATATAGAAGAATCTTAAATTACATACATCCCTGTGTGGGCTACCTATAAAATTTCCTTTTCAAAAGAAAAAGAAAAGAAATTTTTAATTGAAGGTGGTGTACGACTTATTGAGTAAAATAAAGTAAAAAAATCAAAAGAAGAGTTTCTAAAAATGACACAGGCCACATTAAGAAAAGAAAAACTTATATAGATATAGTGTGCAAGAACATGTGCATGCATGTGTGTGCCCATGTGCATGTGTGTGCGTGTGTGTGCATGTTTGTATGTGTGCTTGAACTAGCACAGTCTGGAAAAGGTTACATCACCAAGCTAAAGAAACTGTCTCTAAGCAGATAGGCAGGTTTGTTTTGTTTGGTATCACCTAGTCTTATCAGAAGATGTGGTGGTTATCACTTTCCTTAAACATCAGTGCATAATAATACTATTTGTGCCTTTAACTAAAATCCAATTTGCATATTGATTGTGACTACAGGTTTCTTTATAGAGCAAATACTACTGTGGGTCTTATTGTCATCATGGAAACCTTGTATGGCAATAAAGATTGCACCTTACTCTAATGTGCTTCGATATTACCTTCTAAATAAAATGTAGG